CTTCTTTCCGGAAAGAAGATACAAGTTCTGACGTGGGGCCCTGTCTGTGCCTCGTGATTCCGGGGGAGGCCCCGGCTCCAGGAGCCGTGGAATGAGACCCATCCGTCGACCAGAGCACAGACCCTGAAGGGTGTCCATGCGGCGAGGGCTGAAAAATAAAAAATCCTGAGCATAAGGCACCACCATGGCGCTGCCTCCACGGTGGGGGAGAGAACCTCGAGCTCCACACAGGCTTTCCCACTGATACACAGGAGAAGAGGCAGGGGGCCCAGTCGCCCCCGGCCCAGCCACCGCCGCTCCTGGAGGACCCAGAGCAGCAACAGAACCAGACGCGGCAGGGCTCCGGCAGCGCTCAGCCCAGCGTTCTGAAACGACCAGGATGAACATGCTCAGGGCTCTAATGCATCAGGCCGACCGCATGCAAGGACAGACGGGCAAGGTGAGCAGACAGAAGGAAGTCTGAGAAAACGGGAAGGAGGCGCCGGAGATCGACGACACTGGGACGGAAATGAAGAACGTCTTCGATGGGGTCATCTGTAGAGTGGACGCGGCCGACGGAAGAATCTCAGCACCTGAGGCCAGCTGAAGAGAAACGTCAAACCAGACGGTCTGCCTTCTCAGAGACCCAGCGAAACGCAGCAGAATGGCCAAGGACCGCGGGAGAAGCAACTCGTGCGTCAAGGGGACACCCATTTTGTCTATGAGTAAACACTGGTTCTTTCATTGGGGATGCCCCTTGTTTCTCTTCCTTGACTGACGGGCCTGCCTTCAGCCTCCGCACAGGTGGGATAGAAGTGGCGAAAGTGGGCACCCTTGTCTGGCTCCTGGGCTGGTGTGACGCCCGCTGGGCCTACCTTACCGATGCCCTTCACCCTTGGGGCTGCCCCTTCTACTCCTGTCTTGCAGAAAGTTAACATCTAGGATGGATTTGGGGTTTTGTCAAATGCCTTCCCTGACTCCAGGTGATCGTCTGGCTTTTCTTCTTCAGTCTATTACTGCAGCGAGTTACATTATAGGACGATTTCCAGGTGTTAAACCGCCCTTGTATTCCTGAGATCGCTGCCATGTTGTCATGATGTATCAGCCCTTCTACATGTGGATGAGCTCGGTGTACTAAAAATCGTGTTGAGAATTTTGCATCTTGGTCACGAGGAATTCTGGTTTGGGGTTTTCCTGCAAGGCCTGTGTCTGGTTTTGGTGCTAGCCCTCACAAAATAAGCTGGGGAGTGCTTCCTCGTCTCTTTTCCAGAGGAGTCTGCGTAGAGATGAAGTTATTTCCTTCTCACATATTTGTAGAATTCACCAGTGAAGCCATCTGAGTCTGGAGTTTCTTCGTGGAAAGGCTTTTAACTTCTTTAATAAAGAACTATGTTGGGGGGAGGCGGCTGGGTAACTCAGTCAGTTGTGCATCTGACCACACTGTGTTGATGACTATATATTTGTGGTGTAGTTTGAGATCCGGGAGGTCGGTGCCTCCAGCTTTGTTCCTTCTCAAGATTGCGCCGGCCCCTTATTATACCTTTACTATCTGTAGAATTTGTAGTGACGCCAACTTTCTCATTCCTGGTATTGGCAATGTGTGTCTTCTCTCTCTTTTTCCTAATCAGTCTGACTGGGGGTTTATCAATTTTATTGGTCTTCCAAAAAAAAAAAAGAGCTTTTGTTCTTACTGATTTTCTCTGTGGTCTATTTTCTATGTCATTGATTTATTTAATGATGTTTATTTTTTCCTTGTTTTCTGCTTACTTAGAATTTACTTACTTTGCTCTTCTTTTTCTCATGTCCAAAGGTGAATGCTGAGGTCAGTGACTTCAGATCTTTCTTCCTTTCTAATGTAGCCATGGATTTCCCCTATATGCCGTGTTAGCTGCACCTGCAAAACATACGCTGCCGAGTTTTTAATCTTCACTCAGATCAAAATACTAATTTTCCTCTTAATTTCTTCTTTGATACATGGGCTATTTATTTATTTATTATTTTTAAAAAGATTTTATTTATTTATTTGACAGAGAGAGACAGTGAGAGAGGGAACACAAGCAGGGCGGGTGGGAGAGGGAGAAGCAGGCTTCCCGCGGAGCAGGGAGCCTGACGCGGGGCTCGATCCCAGGACCCCGGGATCATGACCTGAGCCGAAGGCAGACGCTTAATGACTGAGCCACCCAGGCGCCCTGATACATGGGCTATTTAGTTTCCAAATAACGGGGGGATTTTCTAGGTATATTTTTATTGATTTCTAATGTAATACTATTTTGGCCAGAGAATATAATTTGTATGATTTGAATCTTTTAGACCGTTTTCTGGCCCAAAATATGGTCTATGTTGGTGAATGTTCAGTGTGCACTTAAAAATACATATTTTACTGTTGTTTTCTGTGTCGGTCAGATTACATTGCTTGGGTCGTGTGTGCCCTTACTGAGTTCCCGTCTGTCCAGCTGAACGTTGATGGGAGGGTTGTGGTCTGACACATTCTGTTCCAAGTGTTCCGAAGCTCTATAACTGGACATGTAAACTTGTAGGGTTCTTATGTCCCCTTAATATGTTTATCCCTTATCATTTTAGGGAGACCAACTTCACCCTGGTGGTCTTAAGGCTGACCCTGCCCAGTGGTCCACTCGGGGTCCTGCTGGTCATGTGGATTTTTGCTCTCACTGGTGGGAATAGTAACCGGTCCAGACCCTGGGTGGGCTAGTGGTATTACTCTGTAATTCCTACAAATGGTTCTTTCCCAGCCTCGGGCAGTTTTATCCCATGTGTTTGCCACTCTGTCCTCAGCCGAAGACCGCGGGGGATGTGCTGCTGGTATCATTGCTCTTTCTCCGTGTGGCTCCCCTCCCTGAACCCCACCCTGCTGGCTCCAAGTCTCCTGGCTCAGGGAGACCGCTGGTGCTCGCCTCAGTCACCCCTCCCTGCCCAGCAGCCCCGAAACCCTCTGTCGGCAGTGAGCAGGGCAGCCCTCGGGCTCACCTCTTGTTTCCTGTCTCACGGGAATGCTGCCCTGGCTGCCTGATGGTTGGGTCCTGAAAGCTGCTGCCTAAAACATTCGTGTGGATTGTTTGAATGCACATGTGTTGTTCTGCAGACATCCAGGTTATTGTTTCTCCCTACCGCACGGCGTTCGGTATTGTATACCCATCACGCTGGGTTAATTCGTTCCTCTAAAGGTGAGTGATGAGGCCACCCGCTTCTGCTGCACAAACAACCGTGCAGCAAACAGCCTGAACGCATTCCCTCGTGGATCAGTGTGTGTGTTTCCAGAATGTGCCCTCAGGAGACGGCTCACCGGCACCGCTTCCCAAGCACGACTGCACTACTTTTCGGAGAGCGTCCAGCAGTCTGTCTTCCTACCACCAGAGCTTCCCATCACGATCCTCGCCTTGACCCGTGGCCCTTCCTCCCTAACTTTTACTATTCTGGTGAATGTCAAGTGGTGCCTCATGGTCATGTTATCTCCCTTATTATTAGCGAGTTTGGGTGCCCCTCCATACACCTGTCAAAGCTTTGAATCGCCAGTTTGAAACACCTGTTCCTTTACCTGCCTGGCCTCCTTTTTCGTTTTACAGGATTTTGCGACTTGCGGGAAGTATTTGTATATTGTCGGTACTAGTTACTTATTGGAGGTAGACATTGTAAACATGTGCATCCTTCACTTGTTACCCCTATCTGTAACGCAGAGAAGAAAAGCACGCCCTCCGTAGGACCGTCGTGCAAACTCGTGAGATGATATGCATCAAGCATGCAGAACGATACCTGGCACAGACTAAACACTCAAAATGTTATTTTAACATTATTATTTCTCAAGAATCCCACCCAAGACACCCAGAAAGTCCGTCTGGGGCTCCTGGGCACATTAAGGTGCCCCACAAATACTGAGACCCACGTGTGCCATTGAAACCCGGACACAGAAAGGCCAGGGAGGGTGGGACTCCCGTGACAATGTGGCAATGGCCTGGGAGCAGTGATCCCATGGGCAGACACCACTCGGTGACACACGGGGCCGGGGCTCCAACTGTTGGCACTGGGTCTGTGAGACACCATGAGCCATCAGTCGGGGGAACCAGTGTCCACGTGACAGCTCCCTTCACGGAAATACAGTTGGCATCTAATTCTGGCAAAGGCGTGTTCTCCACCCCGCTCTGCTCATGAAAGCCCCATGAGGACAGCTCATTATTTCACCCGACTCCCCACTCTGGGTTTGAAAACCCCCTCTCTGGCCTGCCTCACTCTCTTTTTTTCCACCTTCTGGATCCCTGTCCCCTTCTCAGGGACATTTGGTCTGTGCCCCGACTCAGGCTGCGTGGTCTGCTGAACAATTTGCTCGCGCGCTGGGTTCACTAAATAGCTCCCCTCCCATTATAAGGGCCACCTCCCAACTCCTCGACTCCTGCTCACGTCTTTCCAGATGGATCAGAGCAGACGTAACAGCTCATCCTCATTTTATCTTTTCCCAAACATAACATAGATGTGGGATCCATCAAGTATCTTTTGGATCAATTCCATCCCAGCCAGGAATTGCTCTTTTGTTTGGCATAAAATAGGGGTCCAATTTAAATTTTTCCCCAAGTACAGCTAATTGTTTTAGCACACTGATGGAAAAAATTTTCCTTTCCCAACTGCTCAGCCAGGCCGGCATGCTTGTAAATAATTTCCATACTGTGTCCCACTGGTGAATCTGTCTATCCCCACATCGACACCAGAACCTCGATTGCTAGTTTTAAAATATTTTGACATCTCCTAGGACAGTTCCTTTCCATCTCTGCCTTCTTCTCGAATGTTCCAGCTATTATTCAGCCTGTGTTCTTCCATACACATTTAGAATCAGTTTGCTAAATTTCTTTTAAAAAGCCCTTCTGGGGTTTCAATGAGAATTTCTTTTGTAGGGCAATTTGGGGAAGAATTGATGTATTTCTGATACTGAACATTCCTATCCACGAATATAGTTCTCAATTTATTCAGGTACTCTTTAATGTCTTTCAATAAAGTTTTATAATTTTTCCCTAACGATCTTCAGAAGGTTTTTTTTTTTTTAAGATTTTATTTATTTATTTGACAGAGACACAGTGAGAGAGGGAACACAAGCAGGGGGAGAGGGAGAGGGAGAAGCAGGCTTCCCACAGAGCAGGGAGCCCGATGTGGGGCTCAATCCCAGGACCCCGGGATCACGACCTGAGCTGAAGGCAGACGCTTAACGACTGAGCCACCCAGGGACCCCTAGACATTCTATTTTACAGAATTGTACCCTCCGGTGAGTGCTGGTATTTAATGCATGTGTAGGGCAGTCTCCGCATGCTCCAGATTCACCCTCCACCTTCGTCTGACTTTGTTTGTGCTCCAGGAAGGGGACCTCTGCAAACTGGTCACCTGGCTGGGTTAATGGGAGACACCTGGAGATGTGTGTGTGGGGGGGGAGTGTTGGAGTATTTATTTCCCCAGACCCCTCCCCCAGGCCTGGGGTTCAGGGGGGCTTCATTCTTCTGCTAGGCTAAGCCTTTTGCTGAGGGAGCCTCTTCCCCTGCTCACTGCGGCCTCCCTCACCAAGCCTTGCTCCTTCACTTAACTCTTCCTCCTTGTAACTCGTGCGTTTATTAAAATTCCTCCGATCATCTCTGTGAGCATGCCATCTGTTTCTTGCTGGGACCCTGACTGATACGGTAATTGCCACCAGAAGTGGCCCCAGAAAACAGACCCTCAAACGGGGTTCCAGGGTCGAGTTGCCCGTCCGTTTGACCAGCACGGGGATAAAATCCTTGCCAGGGGGCACTTGAGCGCTAGGGACGGGTCCTGCGCCAGCATGCCGCTTCTTTGGATTCTCACCGGTGGTGCCACGGGACCCAGGCAAGCGGGGCGCGAACAGATGGGCAGCCAGTGGCTGGGATGCCCAGGTGCCCCGGCAAACACGGTGACCACACAGACGCGGCGGGCTGGCCCCTCGCGACAGCCCTGGGGAGCTGCACGGTGGGAAAGGACCCGGGGCTGCGTGTAGGCCCCCCGCTGAGCAAGGTGGGCTTCCGAGCGCGAACACCCACCACGCAGGGCCACGCAGGGCCACGGAGGGCCACGCAGGGCCACGGAGGGCCACGCAGGGCCACGGAGGCCCGGGTTCGGCGGGCGATCGCGCCGGTTTAAGGAAGCGGGCGCTGTGCGGGTCCGCCGCCGTCAGGGGGCACAGCGCGTTCCAAGGCGCGGCTCCGTAATGATTGTCGCCGGGACCGAGAGGCCAGCGGAGGGCAGAGCCGCAGCCCCGGGCGGGGCGCGCGGCGGGTGGGCGCCGCCGTCCCGGCGGGGGGCGCGGGACCCACGGGGGCGCGGAGGGCCGGCGGAACGGGGGCGCCCGTCCTGGCCCCGGGGCGTCCGGGCCGCGCCTCGGGGTCGCGAGTGGCCGTGCGAGCCTCGCGGCCCGTGGCCCGGCCCTCGCGCGACAGCGGGCACCGCCGACGGACCTGAGACGGCCGCGCTGCCGCCGCTCCGAGGGCCCGACTCCCGCGCCCCAACATCTGAGGCAGTTGCAGGGCCACGCCGTCGCTTTGACTCCACGACGGGGAACCCTGAAGTCGCCCGCCCCAGGGCCCGCGGCGGCCGCAGCACCCACCCCAAGCGGGGACTGGGGGGCAGGGGGCGGGGGCGGGGGCGGGGGCGGGCCCCCTCCCCCCTCCCCCCTCAGCGGACCACGTGACCGGCGCGGGCCGGCCGCTGGCGGGCATGCGCACACGGCCAGCTCGGGAGCCATTTCGCGGGGCCGCGGCCCGGGGAGAGCGACCGCGCAGGCGCCCGCCGGGAGCGCGCGTGCGTGCGGTGCCGGAAGGGGCGGGGCGGGCGCGGCGCCTGCGCCGTGAGCAGCGTGGGGGCGGGGCCAGCCGTCAGCTGACCGAGGCGGCGGCGGCGGCTTCCGTGGGACAGCAGTCGGCGTCGCAGGCTCCGGCGCCGAGGGTCGCGGGCGCGTTGGCTCCCGGTGGGCGAGGCGGGGGCCGGGTAGCACCATGGCGACCACCGTCAGCACGCAGCGCGGGCCGGTGAGGCTGCGGGCAGGTGGCGGGCGGCGGGCGGCGGGCGTGGGCTCCGTAGCCTCCGGGGAGGGCCCGGCGACGGGCTCCGGGCGGGGCCCCCGGACCGAGGAGGGTCCCCTGTGCCCCGATGCTCCTCACATGGAGCAGCCCCCCCGGCTGTCCCTCTAGCGGAGGACCCTGAAGCCCGGACGGTGCCCGTCGTGCCCCCGCGCAGAGTAAGGCTCGCTAGCCCAGCTGCGTCCCCACTTAGGGGCCACCGGTCATACCGTCAGTTTTTCACTTGCAAATGAGAGGGTGGGAACCGAGGACCTGGGAGGGCCCTTCCCCGTCCTCCCTCGGAGGGCTCCTGCGTGGACCCCCCGCCTCCGCTGCGCAGAGCTGGTAGACTGGCTCAGGACGGCCCGGCGCTAACGTGGCCTCCCAGCGGCCCGATCGGACTGCATCAGGGGCGGGTTGTCGCAGACGTGAAGTTTGTATGGACAGAAGCTCAAGATGCACAGCAGGGGAACATTTGGGTCCTTTTGAGCAGGAAAAAGGGTTCCTGTGATGTGATCTCACAGTCAGCTGCTGAGGGCGAGGTCCCACTCCCAGGGCTTCTCACCCCTAGAGCTGGACGTGGGTGGATCTCGTTTGTGCGCACTGGAGGAGGATCTTTTCACAGAACGCCTTTTCTGAGGTTGAAAGGAAGACCCTGGCTTCGTAGGAATTCCCCTTTGGGCACGGGTGCTCTTTCTGAGAGCTCTGAAGGGGACCTGACCCACACTCCCTGCCGGACTTGGGTGTGGGAAGGTCCCGGAGCCAGTGGCGAGAGTTCTGGGCTCATCCTGGGGCTTCCAGCGCTCCATCTTCACAGCAAATTACAGCAGGTTCGCTGCCAGGATTTCTCATGTTTATGCAACGGGCTGATCGGCTGATCGAGAGCAAGGGAACCCCAGCGGCTCCTTTCCTTGCCCTCCCACACCCCCCGCCGGGGAGCAGCGGGCTTAATGGTCGGGCAGGACAGCCCCCGCCCTGGCCTGTCGTGTGTCCTCAGCCTCCTGGGAACCCAGTGCCCTTGTGTGGGACTTCCCTGGAGGCATGGGACTCAGTGTAAACACGCACAAAGTTGGGCGCGGTGTCTGGCGTGAAGGGAGCGCTCCGTGGAGCTCAGCTCGTCCTGTTACCAGCGGAACACTCAGTTCAGTGGCAGCTAAAGCCGAAGCCCCTACAGTCCTGAGGGAGGGAGCAGGAGCGTCCGAGTGTTCACACACGTGGGGCCTGTGCTGTCCCGTGCTGCTTCTCTGTTGACTCCGTGCGTAGGGTGTTTCCCGGCACGTGTGACCATGCCGTGGCCTTACGTGTGTGTGTTGGTGTGCAGTGTGGGGTGCCCTCCGTGACCCGCAAACACGCAGTAATGGCAGGGCTGGGCCGGAGCTGGTGGGGGCTCCAGGAAGGTGTCATCCGGGGCTGGGGTCTTGAGTGCCAGCGCAGGGCATGTGACTTCCTCCTCAGCCAGTGTTATCGATCATGGTATTTGGGGCAGCACGATACAGTGAACACCCAGGTGTGGTGACCCCATCAGGATCTTATAGGGCAGCGCAGCAAACAGCCTGCGAGCTGGTGAGCTGCACACTCAGAGCTGTGGGTCTTTTTTTTTTTTAAGATTTTATTTATTTATTGGGGAGAGAGAGAGTTCGAGAGAAGAGCGCATGAGCAGGGGAGGAGCAGAGGGAGAGGGACAAGCAGACTCTGCACTGAGCGCGAAGTCCGATGTGGGGCTCGATCCCACGACCCTGGGTCATGACCTGCGCTGAAACCAAAAGTCAGATGCTCAACTGACTGAGCACCCCAGGCGCCCCAGAGCTGTGGGTCTTAAGTCAAGACTTAGATATGAAGGTGGCCTGTCATGGGCCGTGGTTGAGGTGGGTAAGGTTCCTGGGGGGAGATGGCACCTGATGTAACACTTGAAGGAGGAGCCCGTGTGGTGGGGCTGGCCCGTGGGCAGGGGCTGGGCCTGGAGGGAGACAGGGTGGGCTGCTGCTGGAAGGCCAGGGCGGGGTGGGTACCTGTGCTGGTTCGAGTAACAGGCATGGCCAGGGTGCTTTTCCAGATGAGAGGCCAGCAGGCAGCAAATGGGTTGGGTGCTTGAGTTTTATCTGGTCACTATAGTGTTAACTTTTTAAGAAAGCTTTTTGCCTGGCACACAGCCTCTTCGTGCCCCCTGCTCCCCTCTGGGCTAAACAGTCCTTGTAAGGACCGTGTTGGCATTGTTCGAGTCTGGTGGGCTTCTTCCTTTACCCAGGGTGCCCAGACTCCACTGGGTGCTGGGTGCTCTGCCATCCCAGCAGGTGGTGGTGAAGGAGCATTGGGCGGGGCTCAGGCGCTGGGTGATGACTGGGCAGCTCTCCTGAGCATTAGCCCCGAGCCGCTGGGCTGCATCCCTGTGCACGGCACCCAGGGCTCCACCGGGGCTCCAGGGAGCCCAGAGCCTGGACTCACACGTGTGGGGCCTACTCTGAAGTCTGACCATCACCTCCCACTTGCGACAAAGAAGTGAAGGCAGCGTCCTTGGGGATGTGAAGGAGGAACGGGAGTCTGCCTGGTAGTGGAGACAGGGTGTTTCCCATGTCCTTGCACAGGGAAGCCTGAGGGTGGGCTGAGGGTGGGGCAGTGCTGACTGCTTCCCTCGGTGGGACTCAGATGGTTCTTAGGCATCTGTCTGTCCAGGCTAGTTCCTTCCCTGAATCGCCACTGAGCCATGCCCCAGGCCTATGCTGTTTGCCCCGCTTTTCACGTTGCTAGTATTCTTGTGACAACGTCCATTTTCTGTCCAGGGTTTCTGTCCAGTCCACAGATCGTTCAGAAGCACCTGATGGGCCCCCCTGCCTTCCTTGTTAGAACTTGGGGAGTTTGTAGGACACGCTGCTTTAAACCACATAGTGCTTGTCAGCTCATGGGGATGGCGATCGAGGTTCAGTCAGGGCTGCAGGGGCCTTTCCAGCCTCCCTCCCAGATGTGTGGGTGGGCCCCCCGGAGTTCAGGCTGACCACAACCACTCGTCCTCCTCCTGGAGGTGCTGATCAGTCAGCGGGTTCAGGCCAAGCGCACTGCTGCCCTCCTCATGATGCCTTTTCTCTCCTGACGCGAGCTGGTCTGCTGGGCGACACTTGGGTGACTTGAGACTGTCCAGGTCCTTGTCACCCTTGATGATGATGATTGTTTTTGATAATGACGTAGTAACAACGTTCTTAATTCCATATAAATATAAAATATATATATACAGGGGCGCCTGGGTGGCTCAGTCGTTCAGCGTCTGCCTTCAGCTCAGGTCATGATCCCAGGGTCCTGGGATGGAGCCCCACATCGGGCTCCCTGCTCGGCGGGAAGCCTGCTTCTCCCGCTCCCACTCCCCCTGCTTGTGTTCCTGCTCTCGCTGTCTCTCTCTGTCAAATAAATAAAATCTTAAAAATATGTATATATATATATACACACAGATAAATTCAAGTGGTAAATGTAAATAATAACTTCGATATTGATAATTATTGCTGGATCAGTGACTTCTTTAGGGATGGCAAAGGGTGATACTTGTATTTTATGGCTTGTTCTGTTTTTATTAATTGGGACTGTTTGCTAAGATGCCTTTGCAGATGGTCCGCTGTCTGTCTGTGCTGAAACACAGTTGTGCAAGAGAGGTCGGGAAATGCTCAGCTCTTGCCCGTCGGTTTCCAGGACTCGGAGGGAAGGCCTGGCTTTCTCTTTAGGCTTGTGCGTGGCAGCATTTCCTTGAGCACCGTCGTGAGCCCGTGGGCCTCATGTGCACAGCCTGCCTGCCGTGGCTTGCCTGCTCGCCCTGCCGGCTGGCCCAGGTCCTCCCGGCTGACAGCCCGGGCCTCTCCCTCCCGCCTCTCTGAGCTGGGTGGGGGTGTGTCCAGGGTTGGGGTGCGGTGCCCTTGTTGGCTGCACGGAGCCTTTCTTGTTTGGACCCGTGCTAGCGTGGGAGTATCCGCCTGTGTTCGTGTCTTCATTCTTCAACCAGACGTCTTTCTGTCTGTCTAAGGTTGGTTTATCATCAGCATGTTGTTAGACCTTTAAAAAGTCAAATCTAAGAAGTGTCTTTGTCTCTTAGCGGGAACACGTTAAGTAATTGTGATCACGCACATGCGTTTCCTTCCGCTGTTGTCCTCTGTGCTCAGGTTTACCTTTTCTGTGTCCATGTCTCTCCTTGCGTTCTTTGGGCGATTAAATAGTTTCTCAAATCCCGGTGTTCGTTCTGTCCTGGTCTGGAAAACACACCGATTTCTGTTCTCCTGGTGGTTATGGTAGAAGCTTCCCTGTGCAGACTCAGCAGGGTGTAAGTCAGCCGCTGTGTTTGCGCTCCTCCTGAGGGGTATGTGATCTTGGGGGCCCCCTTCCCAGCCCGGACGCTGCTTCCTTTCCTGCCCCTCACACCGTGGGACCACTGTGCTTTTGCTTTCAGTTTGTCTTTTTGAGTTTGCTTTGGTGGCGGACTTTTCCAGGCTCTGTTCGTGAGTGCCCTTCTCCAACTCCTGGAAGCTCTTCTTGCTCGTGTGGCGCCCCGCACGCGCGGATCTTAGTGTGTGTGTCCCGGCGGCGGCGGCTGGCCTGGGGCAGTCAGCGGTTGACCCTCCTGCCCCTGCAGCTCCGCGTGTCCACCGCACTCCCCACGCCCTTTTGTCCCTCTTCTGGTCACCACTGCCATCCCTGAGCAACAGTCAGCTCTCTG